AGTGACCGCTGGCCTGTAAATGAGTGAAAACTGCAGAGTTCTGGCCATTAGATGTAGCTCGTCTGTGTTGGGACATTCTTTTGAACAGTGGCTGACGACTGAAGAAGTCTCTTGGAGGAGAGACGAAACGTTTCATTAGAGAAGAACCCGTCCAGAAGACCTATACAATTTTTTTTCTTTTTGGCTCTGTAGATAGTTGACAATCTCAGGCAATATTGCAAGATCTAGCAAGATGTGCTAGGGCTACGTGTTGAACATGACTCTACATTAAATATGAACTGTAACATCGACTGAGAGATATTTTTGTGTTGCCTTGTGTTGATTAGTTGAGGCAGCAGTGTGCAGCGCTTGGAGAGGCCGTTGTGAATGACTCTCAGCTATAACACACAAAACATTAGCTCAAAAAGTAAAATGTATCATGTTGCAGCCATTTTTGTTTTTCCCACACCAGCTAGCTTGGTTAACCATTTGTTGAAGTGCATTATTTGATTGTTTCCTGAACGGTTTATTAAAATCTGTCCTGAGATATTTTGCTAACAGACACAATGGTGCACAAACATGCACTTGCATGGTTAATTTTGCATTTTAAAAGAAATAAAAACAAACACTTTTAGAGGAGTATTGAACATCTGAAAGGTGATGCTCTTGACATTTACTAATAAATAAAAATAACTGGTGGGCCTAGTACTGAAACAATCTGACATCAGAGTCCTCAAACGAGCTTATTGTGAATCGTGATTTCTTTATTCTATTTCAAAAGGGAAAAAAAACATCTTATATTGTGTTTAAAATGTAAAATAAGGCCGTTTAGATGCGATGACTGCGATGATCCTCCTCCCCAGCTGGAGGGCGAGGGGAGCGGCTTGAAGACCTGACTCCATGTCGGTGACACCGCTTCATTCAGTGAAAACCCGAGCCGTTCAGGAAATAATCCTGCTTAAAAACAGATTATATCAATATTATAGATGCTGCTAATAATAGTATTAAGCTACAGCTCTGTTTGGAGGTACACAGCATCCACCTGTGCGGTAAAAGGTGTTATTTCATGGTTTTGTTTTGTCGTCAACAACAGGCTGTCGCTTCTCTGCTGATTTCAGCGGAGACAGCACAACAACGAGCCCGAGCAGCGCGCGTGCTGCCCTGCATGCGACACTGTTGTCATTGTCACGTATGAGCAGGGGGAGGCAGGGGGTGGATCACGGTCAGCGCACGAGACCGTCACCATTTTTTAAATTCCACGTATATTTCTGGGTAACTCACGCGTTTCCGATGTAAATTCTGGGGAACACCTCGTTGAAGTGCTGGGTCGGCAGGTTGTAGAAGCCGCTGCCGTCGGACAGGAGCTCGTTGAGTTGTTGGACGGTAACCTCGCCGCTCGGAACCGGGACGTCGTCTGGCGGCGGCGGGTGTTGTTGCTGTTTCGCGGGGCTCAGGTGTTTCTTCATCATGGCTCCTTCTTGTTCTTCGCTCTCAAACAGCTGTTAGACCGCAGACAGCGCCCGAGTCGTGATCCTCGACCGGTTCTTCAGCAGCATTTTACCTCCGCACGTGAAGTCGTGCACGATACTCTGCAAAGTGTCTCTGAACAGATGGGAGCGGAGACCTCTCAGTGGCTCCCAACGGTGTCAAGGTAGCGGATGTTTACAACTTACATTTCCGGTAAGACTTTCAAAAATAAAATACATGAAATTTCAAATTAGAAAAAACTTTTGAATACCGATTTTTTTTCTCTGGATTTTGAGATTTAATTCAGAATTCTTAAAAAAAAAATCTGAGAATAAAGTCAGAATG